CGGCAGCCCCGCTTCCCTTCCAGCTCCCTGCCTGTGGCCTGGGAAAGCAGTCGAGGATGGCCCAAAGCTTTGGGACCCTGCACCCGCGTGGGAGACCCGGAAGAGGCTCCTGGCTTCGGATCGGCATAGTATCGGCCCGTTGCGGCTCATTTGGGGAGTGAATCATCGGACAGAAGATCTTCCTCTCTGTCTCTCCTCTCTGTATATCAGCCTTTCCAATGAAAAAATAATAAAAATAAATCTTAAAAAAAAAAGAATGTAAAGGTTAAATAAGGCAGAAATCATAATTGATAAAAATCTTTTGTTAAGTCACTGGTGATGCATAGATGTGAGGACTGTTGAATTCTTTGTTTAAGTACCACAGACAACTGCGGACCAAAAAATAAACACATACTAAAATACAAACAAGTGAAGACTGGGACCCAGACAAAAAAATATTGCCATAGAGACTAAAGAAGATTGGAGATTTTTTTTGGAGACACAAATTTAAAAGTCAGAGAAAATACTGTAATATCATAATATGTTGCTAAATTTTGCAGTCTCATGCCAAGATTAGGATATTACCCTTGAGAGGTCAGCTAAGATTTATATCCACTAACCTAAAAGCTCCTACTCCTGATGTAATTACATAATACCACCAACAGGTCCAGGTACCATCATGAGCAATGAATTTTCATTGTCGTACCCATGCACTCTTCAATTCAGTCTTCTGTTCCATAGCCCAACCCATGTATAAAGAGGCCCTACCCACTGATAAAGGGCTTATTTTTGTTCCCACAGCCCAGATTCCCATTACAATCTAGACTGCATCTTATGTAAGCACAGGACTCCTACACATTGGTCCCTTCCTGAAACTTAGGGTGAATGCCAACTTTCAGTTTTCTGTGGCATGAATGCTAACGATGACTGAAAGTGAATTCCAATGAGCATTTCCAACTACCATTCCAACCAGTGACTCTTCCCTAAGCGCTTCCCTAAGGTGAACTGCCCTGTGCCAATAGTTTTCATCAGCACAGAACAGTTAGAGAAAAAAGCAGATGCTGGTAAATCTAAAATCACAGTCTCAACAGTAAACAGTTGAGAACTTGTTTTTTTCTATTCTCCTTTACAGACAAACTTCTAGATAAGTATTTTCTACCAGAAGCCACCATGAACTCAAACCCAGTGAAATCTAGCCTCCACCTTAATCGCTTACTGGAAACGTTCTTTCAATCTTCGTGACATTTGGAATTAGAAATCAGTGGCATCTTCCTCTTCCTTGTTCTTTTTTTTTTTTTTTAATCCACTTCTTTCATGCTAGACAGTGTTGATTACTGTGATTAATCTTGTGTTTTTTCTTCTCCTCCTGACTTTGCATCTTTACCATGACAGCTTTATATCTACACATACTATAACCAGATCAGTGTTTTTAATCCTTTCAAGTGTTACGGAAAGAAAAAGCAAAAGAAGATAAAAAAAAAGACAAAAGAGACTGCATTGTCCGTGCAGATTTTTAATGCATGGTATTTAATGCATTTTTTGGTTTTCAGTTGTTGTCTTTTTCCAGTGTCCAACAAAAATAAATAAAAATTAACATTATCTTGTAAATTATCTATATTTTCCTTCAATATCTTAAGGTACACAATTATCAAAGCTGATATTGAACACAAACAAATTGATACAATTCAGTACTCTGACAAAATTCAAAGTCAAATAAGTTACTTTAAACTGCATGCAATACAATTTTATGTTCCATAGCATCTTTAATAGAAAATGTATACCAAGTGGTTCTTCAGATTTACAAAGTGCAATTACAGAGTGCAAAACAAAGCAAAGACAAAACACATTAGATACACTTAACACAATGAAATTTGAATATCAGGCATATTCTAGATAAAATTCTTCTTTAGTTAAAACATCAAAATGTACTCCAGAACCAGAGTTTATAAAACTTTTTACTCCCCCTGCAACCATAAATAGAGTAAAAACAAAAAAAAACATCAAACTTTTGTAATGTCTGCAGAACAGTTTGGAGCAAGTATAAGAGTGCCTCATTCAGGAAGTTTTGAAGACTGCACTACTGAATGCAACAAAAATTAGTCACTAGCATCAAATATTAACTGCGTAAAATTTTCTAAATTATCCATGCAGCTGACTTTAGCTAATTCTTTTCTCAAAAACTGAAAAATAAGAGTATGTGTTAAGATTTAGTCACACCAGTACACCAGTACCGCTACTGAGACTCTTGGCAGAGGTGAGGACAAGTGTGTCCAGGAGAACAGTGAAGTTATATTGCACTGAAAATGTTTAATATTTTAAATAACTCTGTTTCAAGATTAAGCCTTTGGTACAAGTCAGAGACCTTAATGTCTTTGATTACAGTGTATATCGATTGGTTTATTGTGTGGCCTTAATGAAATAGTGTAAATTATGCATGTATACGTTTTTAAAATTTTTATTCTACAGGGAGCTGGATCAGAAGTGAAGCAGCTGGGATACAAACTGGCACCCATATGGGATGCTGGCACTCACACGTGGAGGACCAGACAGCCGAGCCATCACAATGAAACCCATAATTTTTACTTTGGTCTCAAATATGCATAGCAACTTTCTAAACACCTACATGGCGAAATCCATAAACTGAGGGAGACAGTCTAAATAGGAGTTGAGTTTTTCTCAATTGTTTTTATGGCTATTTGGCGTTATACTTACAAAATCTTTTTTTCACTAATAAAAATAAATTCAGGACTTTTTTTATAATTGGATATGAACTTATAAATTCAAAATGTAATTTGGGCTCATTTCATAAATACTCTTACTGAAAATTGAAGCTGGTATTGTACTGGAATGACTTAGTATCCCATATTGAAAGTGCTGATTCGAGTCCTAGCTGTTCCACTTCTAATCCAGTCAGTGATTTGGGGCCTGGGAGAAGAGTGGAGGATGACACAAGTACTTCAACGCCTTCCATTACACAACGGGCTCTTGGCTTCAGCTTGCCTAGCCCTGGCCCTTGCAATCTTTGGGGACTGGACCAGTTGACGGAAGATTTCTTTACATCTCCACCTCTTTCCTTTCCCTCTACTACTCTAATTTTCAAATAGATACACACAATTAGTTATTTAATATAATTTAATGAAGTTTTTAATATGATTTCAGATACTTAAATAGATCAATATTGAGAACCTTTTATAAATGAAATAAACTTGGTTACTGGTCAATTAATAAGCTTTCTTTCAACTATTCAAGATCACTGAAAATTTTCTTTCCATCCATCAGCGTGTATAACGTTTAAATTGCTTTTATGTAACACATTAGACTTCAGCTGTATTAAGTAGGAAACAACAATAAGCCTTTAGATCTCCCTGATTTTTATTCTATTTCCCCTTTTCTTTTTTCTAAGTTTAATATATTCACAACAGAGCAACAAGTGACTGCAGTTCTATGATTGATGAGTTCCTGGACCCATATGTCTTTGGGTATGAACATATATTTGTATACATTTTTATTTGTTTTGTCTGCTTGTTTCCATAATAGTAAGAGACAAAACCAAGATGCTACGAGAGTGTCTGGTAAACCCATCACTGTATGCAATGCATGGATATACAGGGAGGCAAGTCCCCACACCCACTAATCCAAGGTGAGCCATGGCTTATCATCTCTTTGTTACATTAGCAAGATGGAGGAAGAATGGATCCTCCCTGATGCAGAGACTCTGACCAAAGGTTTAGCATTCAGCGGGGTAGCCTCCTGGGGAAATCAAAGGCAGGGACAGCATGGCTCCTTAAGCAATGGCCCCAGTCATTAACTCATTGCAACTCATGGGGCTCTGTGTGCAGAGGAAACCAAGAAACCTGTCTCTCCCAAAACACAAATGATAGAAAAGGGGTTTCATCTTATCCTCTGTAATGAGGCATGGTTAATGAAGCCTCTAACTTTCAAGTCTTTCAAATGATTTTCTCATTTGGAAAAACGCACTAGTATTTTTCTATTTTTCCCACTTCGTGTGTGAAGATATGGTTTTAAATAAGCAGCTGCTTCTTCGGTCATGACTATCTTGGTGAAAGTGAGATAACTTTTCATCTTTAGGCAATATAAATAAGTATTGTCTTCTTAACTTATAAAACACTAGTTTATTAAATTTTGGACTCAGAATTCTTCAACAAAGTCTTTATGAATGCAAATACCCTGAAAAGCAGCGGAAAATCTTGACAACGAATGCAGACTTTTTCTTATTGTCATGTAAGTAGCAATTATGCAACCTACATGTTGTCTACACAAAACAGGCAACTTTGTGACTCCATAAAATACCTACCGTGTGAACTGTGACATAAGATTAAGGTTTTCAGTTCATCTGATGGAAGGTTAACCAGTTGCTGGGCAACTTGTACCTGGAAGAGTACCGGCTGCCTGAGGGAACTGCCTGCTTTCCCTCCCTGCAGCTGAGTCCGGAGTGGCAGCTGAGATCACAGGGGAAAGAGGTCAAGATCTTCCCAGGCTCAGATTGTTACTAGGTTTTGTTTCTCCTAGATGCTAATTGCATTACTATTTCAATAAATGACACATTGGTGCCAACTGTTTCAAATCATGATATAGTCAAACCAGTGATCACAGGTTTGAGGATTCAAAAATAAACCACTTAATTTCACCATATGTTTAAGCTTATAGAAATCTGTCATTCGTTGACACTTTTTCAGCCACGAATTGGACACTGCTCACTCCTAAGCACTGTGTGACAGGCGCATAAGCTTTGGAGCTTTCAATGAAGCATTCAGCTCAGGAAATTATTTCTTACAAAAATATCAATTCCCTGGTGGTATTAAATATATTTTACATATTATATATTATCAAATCATCAAAAACAAAACAAAACAAAAATAAAAACATGTTCTAAGTATATTAAAAAATATACAGTTATTGACCTAACACATGACTCAACCATAAATATTATTAATAAAATAGGAATATTAGCCTTAACAAGGCATGTTGCGTGCCCTTGACTATACAGTGGATGGAGCCATTCAGACTTGTAGTAATCCTGGATCCCGAGAGGTCACCCTCTCATACTCCTTTGATTCTTTACTTTGCTGATGTTTATACCTGGAAATATTCAGAAATGAAATTGTTAGTCCTGTAATTCAAAACAATATGAGCAAGATATATTACCAACCAAAAAAACCCAAATAGACTCCAATCATATATTCACACAATTTCCAAAATGACAACTGTAAATAAATTAAGGTTGGACAAGATGAGAACAGGAGAGAGGAAGAGACAGGGTTTGCTGATGACACACTTTAGAAAGAAACGGTGAAACACTTAAAGGATTCTCGGAGGCTACAAGCAGATCACATATATTGAATATTGTGAAATTCCAGAAGGATATGTGATTGCCTTAGACTCTGGGTTTTGTTTCTCTCTCTCTCTCTCTCTCTCTTTTCCTTTCCCATCTCTCTCTGTTCCCTCTTCCCTCCCTCTCTGGCCTGCCTCCATTCATTATTTTAAAGAGCTAGTATTTCAAATATCACCCCACATCATTACATTCCACCCATCACATTTAGATAATGCTATTACCAACCCAAATGATATTTATCACATATTAACTATGTGACTGGCAAAATCTTAAGTGCCATAGAATCATTATGTATTTTATCTTCACAATGACCCATATCATCCTCATGTTATAAACAAAGCAAATTAAGTAGAGATATATTACACTTAGAATATTCATTCATTGATTGTTATAATATTTTTTATATTTTATTGATTTATTTTTATCTGTTTGAAAGGCATAGAGACAGAGAGAAAGAAGGACCGAAACACATATAGTCCCATTCTCTGGTTCACTTCTAAAATGTTCACCACAGCTGAGGCTGGAACTGGCCAAAAACTCAATCCAGGCTTCCCATAATGGTGGCAGTGACCCAAGGACCCAAAGAACCATCATCTACTGCCTCTGAGTGTGCATATGAGCAGGAAGCTGGATTGAAAGAGGAACTGGAATTCAAACTAAAGCAATGCAACATGGGATGCAGGTGTCCAAGCTGATACTGGCAACTTAATCACTGTACCAAATGCCCATCCCAAACTAATAAATTCAAGGGGTTAAGTATAATAGCACCATCATACCTATGTTTCAATTTCACAGGTACAGTGTTATTTTTACACTGCTTATAGAATCGTATTGTTTTTTAAGTAATTTGTTAAAGTGGAGTGTAAAATTACATTGACTTACCATCTGCAGAAATAATATATGGAACCAGCAACTATGACGAGAAACAAGATGATAAGTATCACAGTCAATGCCACATATTCTTTGCTCAAGGGTTGGTGGACCGTTAGAAAGAAGTGTTCACATCGGACTCCAGTGTAACCCACTTCACACCTAAAGGATAGTGCAAGAGAAGGATCAGTTATTTAAGAAAGATTTCATGATTACGAATTAGCTTTGTAAGAATGCATTTCACACTACAATGCAAAAAGTTGGCGATATCCTAGATACTGTAAACATGGATGCAAAGATTCATTGTAGAGATGGGGCAGCATTGATCAAAGGTCTCCACATGGTTATACATGGTAGTACATGTCAGTTTGGTTCAACTGTCAGCTGGGCTGATTCTGTAAGATGATGTTTTGTTCGTGTTGCAGGATTTAGATACTTTTTTCCCCAAATCACTGGAATCAATCTTAACAAAACAGCATCCACAGAAGCCCTGTGAAAACAGTTAAATACAGAGTTTCTGAAGTGGCCAGAAGAGGTAAGCCTCTTAAACGCTCTGCATCCTGAGCTCTCTGCACATTTTGTAAGTCCCTCTTTATTGTTTAATTTTTAAAAAATCAGTTAATAAAGTTTCTGTTAATATAAGCAAAGTGCACATTAGTAGCCCATGAGAATAGAAGGTAACTTCAAAATCTGAGAAACAGTCTTGTAGATTGTTTTTGCCTTTTACCTGCAATAATTTTCACTCATGTCCACCAGGTAAATGCATTGTCCATGTAAACAATAGCCATTCATGTCAGAGCCACACTTGGTGATGGACACCTGAGCCACACGTGGATTGTCTTCCGTCTGAACTGTGAGGGAAAGGGAAAAATAAACACATTCTGTTGTCTTCTTGGAAACATCACTTGCCATTTCAGAACAGTAACCACTGGCCTCAAATTCTAAACACTCATGTAGGATTACATGTGAGATACATACATACATATATATGTGTGTGTATATGTATACATATGCTTAAGCATGCATGTATATGCATACATATATTTGTATATGTATATCTTCACTCTCTCAATATATATATCACATATACATATCATATATTTATATCATATATATACAAAACACCTAAGTTTATATATATATAAATACTGAATATCAAGTTTACATCCTCCTATCTGCTTGGGATGCAATCTGCCTCTGTGACAGTAAAGTTTCAGGGAATGGATAAATTGTTCTCTGTCTCTTTAAGCTCAACTCTTCAAACAAAATAGGGTTTCCCCCCACCACTTCCAGTTATTATTCCTCTACAAGGAGTTTAAAAAGTAATATAGCAGCAAATACCTTCCTTTTTTTTTTTTGATTGCCACATATTTATAGTCATGTCACCTACATTTCTGCTTTTAAAATAGTGCAGCCCTTTGATATCACATTGATGAAGCTGGATTTACCTAAAGCTGTGCAGTTATCTTCGGCTTCTCCTGGGATACACGATGGAATTACAGTGGTACCAAGAACTGCTTGTAGAAGATGGAAACCTATTTGTGGAAGAAAACAAATATATAATTAACATTTAAGAGAAAACCTTTAAGTGAGTTTCCCCATAACTTCAATATTTGAGATACTGTGGTGTTACGTAAGAGAATATGCATAAAATGAAAATGTTCATGGGAATAGGCAGTTAACCGAAAGTAAATGAACTTTCAACTCTTCTACACAAAGGTACATTCAATGGCATTGAAGTCATACTTAAGCTTTGATCTACAACGTGGCACAGTAACATTCCAAAAACCTAAATTTAAAGCCTTGTCAGTACAATGGAGCAGTACAATGGAGCAGTAGGCTAAACCTCCAGCTATGGTGCCAACATCCTCCTTGGCCATCGGTTTATGCCCTGGCTTCTCTACTTCTGATGCAACTTCCTGCTTTTGGTCCAGAAAAGCAGCATAGGATGGCCCAGGTCCTTGGGCCCCTACACCCATGTGGGAAACCTGGAAGCAGCCCTGCCTCTGAATCAGTTTAGTTCTGGCCGTTCTCTCTATCTCTCTTCCTTTCTGTAACTCTGCCTTTCAAACAAAAAAAAAAAAAGAAAGAAAAGAAAAAGAAAATTTTAAAACATTTTTGAAGCCTTATTTCTTAAGAATCTTAGCAATTGTGGAATTTCCATTGTTGTACCTCCATGATATATTCACAGTGATGCTCCAATGAAGACCCCATCACAAGAGGCCAGTGTTGTACAGCAATGAGTAAGCCACCATCAGAGGAGCCTGGCTGCTCTGCTTCCAGTCTAGCTCCCTGCTAATACACCCAGGACAGCAATGGAACATGGCCCAAGTGCTTAGGTCCCTACAGCCACCTGGGAAACCCAGACGGCCTTCTTTGCCCATGGCTTCAACCTGACCAAGCCCCAGCTGTTTGGGAAGCAAATCAGCAGGTGAAGATATTCTCTCTCTCTCTCCTCATCTCTTTCTTTCTCCTCCCTCTGTAATTTGATCTCTCAAATAAATAACATCTTTCTAAAAATTCCTATTACAAACGAAGCCATCAAATAAAAAACAGCTTCTGCTGGTGGTGACAGTTAAACAGGAAACCTAATGTGGGATATGCCCATTGTTGATTTAAGTTCCTACGTTACTTATTGCATTGAATATACTGTACAGAAAAACAGATGTCAATTAATAAAACACAATCTAACTAAAATCATAACACAGCCATCCCCTGATGTACACATGGAATTATGAATTTACATCCTTTCTATAAAATGATGTTGTATTTTCACATGCTCTATACACAGCCCTCCTGTAGACCTTAAATCTCCCAATTACTTATAATATCCAATACAATGTGAAGGCATAGTAAACAGTCATTGTACCGTATTGCTCAGTGAGTAAGAACAAGAGAGAAACTCTGCACAGAAATACCATATTCTTTTTCATGTGTTCTCATGAGGATATGGAGGGCCAACTCAAATCTCTTATCTGACATGAAAAGGAACAGCACACTGAGCCCTAGCCACAGATCCAGTATCTGTCCACACAGCAAAGATTGGAACCAGCTGTTCTGTGTGTTTCCAGTTAAAAGATAATTATCAGAAAATGGGCATCAGAGTGACTCAAATCACTTCTGAATTGTATAAAAGCCCTGATAAGAAATCTTCTGTTGGCACACATGTTTGCCTAAGAGCATTTAACTTCTTCTGTTTAAGCATCAGGTATTTGTACTTCAAGCACTCTTGCCAGTTGGTATCAGTAACTGTTGTGCCGTGGATATCAGCGATGACTGCAGTGGTAAGAGTTAGCTGTTAAAATGTTGTGAACATGTACTCTGTACTATGCATGCTTCTACTCATTTTACACCTATTATCTCACCTGATCCCCTCATTCACTCTAAGATACTCATTATATATGAAGAAAAAAAAAAGCACAAAAAAGAATTCAGATAACATTTCCAAGGAATACCTTTTATTGAACAGGCCGCATTACAGAACTTGTAAATGGACAAAATACTAGCATGCAATGGACATCACGTCAGACCCGTGCTCTGTCATTGAAGTGCGTGCTTTTTACCTCAAGGGAAGCATCAACCTAGTGTGGAAAGGCAACTTTGGGAGAAAGCATGAGCCACATGTCTTGGGAAGAATAGACTATCTTCTTTCAGTCTTAACTTTTCCTACTTTACCCAGTTTTTGAGAGAATGAAACGAAGTGATACCTTTCTGAAAACTCCTGGTATAGTAGAGACTCCCAGGACTGTTTCTTGACGCGCAATGTCCAGCTGCACACTAGAAGAATGTGAGCAGTGCCCTCTACCGGTTCAAAACAAAATCATAATTCTTTATAATTTGGGAATTTATAGGATGATTTAATCCACTGAATTTTGTATTTTTCTCATGCAAAGGCTTGTGTAAAACAAGTTAACTATATTTTTGTTCTAAACTCCAAATTTCCCATTTTCAGAATCGTAGTTTGTATTAAGTTTCAAGTTTGACACTTCCCTTGAAGTAGTGACTAGCTCCAGCAAGCCCCAAAGCATTTAAATTAAATGTCTTGCCTGAGACTTCTTATTATATGGAAGAGTTAAGAATTCATATGTCAACCACGAGTCTCATCTGCTGCCAGTGATTTGAAAAAAATAATAATACTGTTTCCTAGAAAAGTTTAGGACAATGATGTCCCTGCTACAACAACTCGTAGATCTAAAACACATCTTCCTTCTTAATGACAAAAATGTGGCTAGCACCTAGGTCTCACTGACAGCTAAACAGCGATGAAAACAATTTTCATCAGACTTTTTTGTAGAGTATGAGCTAAATCATCACTCCAGTCATTTTTTGTTTTACTTTTAATATAATTTTGCCATGCATTTCACTGCTGAAGAAATAGAGCCCTTCACATTATCTCCTCAACACCCTGGGATTGTCCTTGCATGGGCTGTGCATATGTCATATCCATCCCTCCATGTTTCTTCAACAGAGGGAAAGTTCTGGAACGAAAATTATTACTTCCCCTCTAGGAAAATGCCAGTTATGAAAAAAAAAAAGAAGAAGAAGAAGAAGAAAGAAATAGACCTTGAAAGCCAGTTTCCCCAAAAGCCAGAAACAAAAACTAGCACAGCGCTGTGAACTCTAATATAGAACCCAATGAATTGTTTGGGGCTATTTCTTTCTCTTTTATCTTTATGTTTTTCCCCCCAAGGATTTTAGTAATTGTTAGTTTTTCCATTGTTAGAAATTTTTCTCTAGTTGCTCAGGCCACAGGTGAAATATTTGCCTTTGTTATTTGAAGAATGCTCAGCAAAGGGTGTGCCTGCATGAACACTGGGCTTTGCTTTCCTGGGACGCTCCCTTGGACAGAGTCCACAGCTCAGGACAGTTTCTATGAGACTTACTGAACTAATCCAACAAGAGCATGGGTTGCAGAGGAAATTACCAAGAATTTTTATACTTCCCTCAAAGTGTGTAATCTTAATTCCATCCTAAACATACTGATATATAGCCAAGAAAACAATAAAATCCTGTGTCTGGCTCTAAATCCTATGTCCATCTGCGCAGGGTCAAGGCCGTGTTTTTCAAGTGTCCCTTTCCTGTGCCTCAGTTGCGGATAGTCAGAAGGTCGAAAATTCACCTAGAATATTATGGGACCCTGCATGTCCCCACCATGAAGAGTCAGTACTCATTATTTTGCTTGGTTTTTATTTTTTTCAGATTCATTTATTTTTATTTTAAAGACAATTACAGTGAGAAACGGGGACACAGAGAGAGAGAGAGAGAGATCTTCCATCCACTGGTTCACTCCTCAAATGTCCAGAATGGGCAGAGCTGGGTTGGTATGAAGCTGGTGCCAGGAACTTCTTCCGAGTCTCCCATGTGAATGCAGGGGCCCAAAGACTCCTGCCCTCCTCCAATGCTTTCTAAAGCCATTAGCAGGGAATTGGATCAGAAGTAGAGCTGCCAGGATTCAAACCAACACTCCACATGGGATGCTGAAGCCACTGACCTGAGCTTATCCTGTTATACTATGAAGTCAACCCACTATTCATTCTTTTAAAGTGGAAAGAATAAAGCCATCGCTATATATCTGTTTAATATTTCAGCTTTATTCACGATTTCATTGTAATTTGGACAGAATCTCTCAATGAGATATTTTAAATCTCTCAATTTCAAACACTATATTTCAGGTTTTGACCCTTGACAACAGATCCATATGAAGTATATAGATAGGGGCTATATGAAAAAACAGATCTAGTGGGAGGTCCTACTTGGGAAGTTAAGATATCAAGAGATTTTGTGCAATTTGGAATATATGAGTTGACAGTTACAAGTTTTTATTTTAATACAGCTACAAGAGATCGATAATGTGGTGTAGTGGGTAAAGCTACACTCCACGCCAGTCTTCCTGATGACTATCAGCTACACCACTCCTAATCCAGCTCCTTGCTAATGGCCTGGGGAAAGCAGCTGAAGATGGCCCAAGCCTTTGGACCCCTGGCACCAAAAAAAGAGACAGAGATGAAATTCAACCTGGCTGAACAACCTGGAGAATGGACTACAGGGCAGAAATCTCCTTTCCCTCTCTCTCCAACTCTGACTTTCAAATAAATAAGTAAATCTAAGAAAAAGGACTATCTAAATCCTTTCAGAAGACTATTTGTATTAAATCCCAAATGGTATTTGAGAGTATGGTTCATCTATTCATTTCTCTACCTTCACCTTTCAGAGGTTGTGGCCCAGTGAAATCTCAAGTGTGCCAGAAGGAAGTGGTGCCACTGACTCACAGGATACAAGTCTCCTCTTCCCTGTGAGTCAGGGCCAAGCCCACACCCTTACACAACACTGGAGAGCGTGCGTAGGAGAGGTGGAGCACCATCGCTGGAATGGGGATGGCACCAAATGTCGTGGGCCCCTGAGCAGTAGAAGTATTTGCCAGCAGTCAGGGCAGCATACCAATGGAGACAACATCCCTTTCATTGCACGTGGCTCCTTTCGAACCCACTTCCTAAAGCTCACAGTGAGGTACTCAGCTAGGCACAGTCAATCGAGA